CAGGCAAAGGAGTAGAATTAAATCAATGGGAGACAGAATTAGTGAGATTGATACTTCTTTGATCAATACTTCTTTGGAAAGGGATCAATCAGAAAAAAAAAAAAAAACAAAATGAAGAAAGCCTAAAGTTCAGTGCAAAACCATCAAAAGGAATAACCTACATGCAATTGGAATTCCAGAACGGGAAGAGACAAAACTACAGAGAAAATTGTCAAAGATTTGTCCATTCAAGAGGTCCAATGAACCCCAAATAGGATAGACCCCAAGAGAAAATTACCAAGACATACCATCATCAAATGCACCAAAACCAAAGACAAAGAAAGAATCCTGAAAGCAGCATGGGAAAAACAAAAAGTTACCTACAAGGGGCAACCAATAAGGATAAGCTCAGATTTCTCATCAGAAACCATGCAGGTGAGAAGACAATGGGATGGTATATATAAAACCCTGAAAGAGGATAATTTCCAATCAAGAATGGTATACCCAGCAAAATTGTCCCTCAAATGTGATGGTGAAATTAGGACATTTCCAGATAAGCAGAAATTAAGGGAATTTCTTAAAACCAGACCAACCTTACAAGAGGTACTAAAGGGAGTCCTATGGACAGAGAACTGACAAGAGCAAATAACAACCAAACATTAACAGACATGATGACATAACCCACAAACCAACCTAATTATGGAAGTGCCCAAAGTAAATAAGCCTACAAGATTGTAAACAGGGAACCAGAGGTATCAACTGACAAATGAGAACAACTACAAACCAAAAAGAGGCAAAAAAATTATATATACAGAACTTCTAGATGGTAGGGAAGTCAAGACAACTGCAAGATAGAAAGGACTGTTCTAAACTTGGGAAGAAAATTATAAATCACAGGGTAACCTCAAAGAAAAATGATAAACCTTCACAATAAAATAAAAGAGGACCAGAACAAATATCTAGCAAATACTACAATAGCAATGAAGGAAGTAATAACATGATTCATAAACAAAACGAGTTCAGCACAGAAAATTATACGGAACAAGGAAACCAACGCCGTGAAGTAGGACATAACAAAATGACACCAACAAATTCATACTTGTCGATAATTACATATCTAACACGGGACTTATCTCTAAAATTTATAGAAAACTCTAACACCTCAACAACAAAAAGATTAACAATCCAATTTAAAAATGGGCATGAATAGACACTTCACCAAAGAGGATATTCCGGCAGCCAACAAACATATGAACAAAAGCTCATGATCATTAGCCATCAGAGATATGCAAATCAAAACAGTGTGATACCATCTTGCCCCAGCATTAATGTCAAAGTTCAACAAGACAGAAAATAACAAATGCTGGCAAGGATGTGGAGAGATTGGGACTCTCATACACTGCTGGTGGGACTGTCAAATGATACAACCACTGTGGAAAGCAGTATGGCAAATCCTTGAAAAGTTGGAATTAAACTTGACCCAGAAATCCCACTACTAGATATATATCCTAAACAAGCGAGAGCCAGGACAAGAACAGACATATGCACACCCATGTTCATTGCAGCACTATTTACAACAGCCAAAAGATGGAAACAACCTAGGCGCCCATCAACAGAAGAATGGATAACCAAACTATGGTACATACACACAACAGAATACTATGCAACACTAAAGAATAATGTAGAATCTGCAAAATACCACATAACATGGATGAACTTGGAGGACATTATGCTGAGTGAAATAATTCAATCACAGAAGGATAAATATAGTATTTGTTCATTATTGTAAAAAAATGAAGGAAAGGCTTACATATGGAAGGAAATTTAGTTGATTACCACGGGTGGGAGGAGAGGGGAGGAAACACTACAAAAAAAAATGCATTGACTAATGTCATTTTAGTTTTGTGTATTGCACTGTACATAAATTATATTTCAATAAAATGCATTTAAAAAAAGAAACTGTCCATGACTCTTTATCTCTGAAAGTCAGGCTTTGCCTGGGATATTATTTGACTCTCCCAGAAAAGAATAGAGTATATAGTCAGTTCTGTTGTGATGCTTGTTTTGAAAATGTTTAATTGTTCATTTGCAATTGATATAAGGGAATGACTTGGGCATAAAAAAAAATTGCAGTTGTTTATGAATTATTTTGTCCACGAGAAACACTGGGTAAACACAGAAAACTGTGAATCTAGCAACAAAAACAACCCTTCCATCATCAATTTCCACAAGCAAGCTGAAGGTCTTTTTCAAGGTAATGTGCCAAATTTATTGCAATATGTATGCATTGCTTAACAAATTAACGTGTAAACCTGCTACTGTTTTTGTTAGTGCTTATCTTTTCTAGGGGTCCCAGAGTGGTGCAAACCGTTAACACACTCATTAACTGAAAGATTGGAGATCCAAGTCCACCCAGAGGTCCCTCTGAAGAAAGGTCTGGCAATTCACTTCGGAAAAAGAATCAGCCATTGAAAACCCCACGGAGCACAATTCTACTCTGACACACATGGAATCCCCTTGAATCAGAGTCAACTCAAAGGCAACTGGTACTGGTACCAGTCCTATCTTTTTATAACGAATGTCACGGAGGAAATTTTGAGTATTATGCCCCTAATCTCATTTTTCCCATTACCTGGGAAATTACACTAAGTGAAATTTTTCTTAGCACACTGATTTTTAGGACACATATGTTTCATTATGTTGTTGTTGTTGTTGTTGTTGTTGTTGTTGTTGTTAAGTGCCGTCGAGTCGGCCCGGACTTATAGCGACCCCCCTTGGGTTGCCGAGGCAGTATCACTATGGAAGTAGATTGCCCAATCTTCCTTCCGGGGAGTGGCTGGTGGGTTTGAACTGCCAGCCTTCTGGTTAGCAGTCAAATGCCTTAGGCACTATGATCAATATGACATCCTACAGTTCTGCAGCCAAATTGGTTTTATCTTAATTTGCCTTATTTTAGAATCCTATGAGCCATGTTGTTGTTGTTGTTAAGTGCCGTCAAGTCATTTCCGACTCATAGCGACCCCATGCACAGTAGAACGAAACACTGCCCGATCCCGTGCCAGTGCCACAATCCCTGCTATACTTAAGCCCATCATCGCAGCCACCGTGTCAATCCATCTCGTTGAAGGCCTCCCCCGTCTTTCGTCGACCCTCCACCCTACCAAGCATGACATCCTTCTCCAGGGAATGGTCCCTTCTTACAACATGACCAAAATAGGTGAGACGAAGTCTGGCCATTCTTGCTTCCAAGGAGCATTCTGGCTGCACTTCCTCCAGGACAGGACAGAGTCCATATGTATTTACTGACAGATCTAACAGTCAATAGAACTGAATGCCTTCCACTGGATGTATCTAAAATGCCTCTGAATTTGAGACCAAGGAAAACATCATCAAAATTAGGTTATAAGTTAAAAATGCTAACTTTATCATTGATTTCTTTTGGGTGTTGTTGTTGCCGTTGTTGTTGTTCTTGTTCTTGTTCTTGTTGTTAGGTGTTGTTGAGTCAGTTCCGACTCATAGCGACCCAATGTACAACAGTCCTGCACAAGTATCAAAATCATTGCTGTGCTTGAGCCCATTTTTGCAGCCACTGTGCCAATCCACCTCTTTTTTGCAGGCTCTCTACTATGCCAAGCATGATGCTCTCCTCCAGGGACTGGTTCCCCCTGATAACATGTCCAAAGTATGTTAGACAAAGTCTCACCATTCTCACCTCTAAGGAGCATTCTGGCTGTACTTCTTCCAAGACAGATTTATTTGTTCTCTGCAAGTCCATGGTATATTTAATATTCTTCACCCACACAATAATTCAAAGGCATCAATTCTTCTTTGGTCTTCCTTATTCATTGTCCAGTTTTCACATCCACATGAGGTGATTAAAACACAAGGGCTTTGGTCAGGCACACATTAGTTCTCAAGGTGACATCTTTGCTTTATAACACTTTAAAGAGGTCTTTTGCAGAATATTTGTTCAATGTAGTGTGTTGTTTGATTTCTTGACTGCTGCTTCTGTGAGTATTAATTGTGGATCCAAGTAAAATGAAATTCTTGACAATTACACAATTTTTCTCCATTTATCATGATGTCTAATGGTCCATTTATGAGGATTTTTGTTTTCTTTATATTGAAATGTAATCCATGCTGAGGTCTGTAATTTGATCTTCATCAGTAAGTGCTTCAAGTCATCTTCATTTTCAGCAGCTAAGGGATATCACACCTGCATATCACAGGTGGTTAATGATTCTTCCTCTAATCCTGATGCGACATTCTTCTTCATATAGTCCAGTTTCTCAAATTATTTGCTCAGCATACTGATTGAATAAGTATGGTGAAAGGATACAACCCTGATGCACTCCTTTCCTGATTTTAAACCATGCAGTATTCCTTGTTCTGTTTGAACCACTGCTTCTTGGTCTATGTACAGGCTTCAGATGAGCACAATTAATGTTCTGGAATTCCCATTCTTCACAATTTTATGCATAATTTGTTATGATCCACACTGAAGAATGCCTTTGCATAGTCAATAAAACACAAGTAAACATCTCTCTGGTATTCTCTGCTTTAAGCCAGGTTCCATTGGACATCAGCAATCATTCTACGTCACCCTCTTCTGGATTCGGCTTGAATTCCTGGCAGTTTCCTGATGATGTATTGTTGCAACCATTCTTGCTGAAACATCTCAACTGGTATTCTATCAATTCCTGGGGCCTTGGTTTTCACCAATGCCTTCAGTGCAGCTGGGAATTTTTCCTTTAATACCATCAATTCTTGATCTTATTCTCCCTCTTGAAATGGCTGAACACCAAGCAATTATTTTTGTACAGTGACTCTGTATTCTTTCCATCTTCTTTTTATGTTTCCTCTGCTGTTCATAGAATTCTTCAATATCCAAACTCAACACAAATTTTTTCTTCAGTTCTTTCAGCTTGAGAAATGCTGAACATGTTCTTCCCTATTGGTTTTCTAACTCCAGGTCTTTGCACATTTCATTATAATACTTTGTCTTCTTAAGCCACCCTTTGAAATCTCCTGTTCAGCTCTTTCACTTCATCATTTCTGCCATTCACTTTAGACACTCTGTTCAAGAGCAAGTTTCAGAATTTCTTCTGACATTTATTTTGGTCTTTTCTTCTTTTCTTGTATTTTTAATGACCTTTTATATCCTTGATGTATGATGTCCTTGTTGTCATCCCACAACACATCCAGTCTTCAATCATTGGTGTTCAATGCATCAAACCTATTCTTGATGTCTAGAAATCCAGCTGGCATATACTCAGGATAGTACTTTGGCTCTTCTGGAATTGTTTTAATTTTCTACAGCTTCAGTTTGAATTTGCATATGAGGAATGGATGGCGTTTTCCACAATCAGCCCATAGGCTTGTTTTGACTAATGATATTGAGCTTCTCCATTGTTTCTTTCCACAGGTATAGTCGATTTGATTCCTGTCTATTCCATCTGGTGAGGTCCATGTAAATAGCCACTGTTTATGTTGCCATTGAGTCAATTCAACTCATAGTGAACCCTCCTTGGGTTTCCAAGGTGGTATCTCTATGGAAGTAGATTACCCAATCCTCCTTCCAAGGAGTGGCTGGTGGGTTTGAACCACCAGCCTTCTAGTTAACAGTCAGATGCCTTAGGCACTACACCACCAGAAATGTTCTTTTTGATGATAAATGTAATGCCATTTCTCTTCAATTTGTTATTCCTAGAATTGTAAACCACAGGACTATCCAATTCAAAATGACCAATACCATCTATTTCAGCTTATTAATGCCTAAGATATCAATCTTCTAGCATTCTATGTCATTTTTTACAACTTCCAATTATCCTCAATTTGTTGTTGTTGTTGTTATGTGCCGTCGAGTCGAACCCAACTCATAGCGACCCCTCCTTGGGTTTCCAAGGCAGTATCACTACGGAAGTAGATTGGCCCATCTTTCTTCTGAGGAGTGGCTGGTGGGTTTGAACCACCAGCCTTCTGGTTAGCAGTCAAGTGTCTTAGGCACTATGCTACCAGAGCTCCTACATCACACAATTTATACTTCATACAGGCTGTTGTTTCTTCTTAGTTTGAGTCATGCCATATCAGCAAATGCAGGTCACAAAAGCTTTACTCTATCCATATCATTAAGATCAAGTCTACTTTGAGGAAGCAGCTCTTCCTCAGTATTTTGAGTGAGGGGCTCATCTTCCTGCACTATAACAGTGATCTGTTATAATTCATTTACCAATTTTTTTAGAATTAGATCACCACGCTTTTCTTCCTAGTTTTCTTAGTCTAGAATCTCCACTGAAACCTATCCACCAGCATCACAAGAACATGCAAGCCAAGAACAGTAGGACAAATTGGCAGACTACTGGTGGCTTTTTACAAGACATTTACCATTTGCAGTTGAATGTGAACATATTATGCATCACTGCTTCTTATCAGTATGTTCGCATGCATTTAATTATACAAAAAAAAAACATAATTGGGATACAGAAAATCCTAATCACAGCAGTCTCTATTGAACCACTTTGATTTAATCTCATTTCCTCAGTGCAAATAAACATGATTGCTTCCTGCTGCTTTCCACAGAGCATCACGTACCTTTTGTTTTATGACTTGGGGAAGATCAGTCACAGATTCTGCCCAGGAAGAATATCGCCTTTTATTTCCAGCAGGATTGTCCAGCTCTAGGTAACTAAGGCTAGCTACTAAACCTGGCTTTCCCCCTCTGACCAATGGGTTTCCTCGTAACACATTGCTCTGTGTTCCTGTAAAAGGAGAAATCAAACGAAACAAGTCAAGATGCACAAATGAAATGAAAATGGGAACATAAAAGTGAAAAGTCTACCAAATATTTTAAAACAATCTACTATCTGACATGAGATGATAATACAGAGTTATTATTAATGTTCTTAGGTGTAATAAGAGTGTTATCTTATGCAGGAGAATGTTTTTCTTCTTTGAAGATACATGAGAATTTTATGTATGAAAGATCATGATGTTTGAAGCTTACTTTCAAGTGTTTTGGCAAATATTTTAAATATAATATTTATATATTGCTAAAAATCAATATACTAAATATTGTATATAGAGATGTATGGCAAAATATCAAAGTAACTGTTGTGTATAGGATATGGGCATATGGGTATTTATTAGTATGTTCTTTCAACATTACCATACGTTTGAAATTTTTCATTATAAAATATTTCAAGAAAAACAATTTGTTGCATCTGGAATAATAACAATAAGGAAATGGCTGCTCAATACAGGCATATGTTAACACACGAAAAGTGTTCTGAAAGATTTGAATGCTCATTGAATCCTCTGAATATGTACCTCATAATTTTAGATAAATTGTTGTATATATTTGAAATTGCTTTTTAAGGAGTCCCGGTAGCAGAGTTTTTAAACACTCAGGTGCTAACCAAAAGGTCAGCAGTTGAACGCACCAGCTGTTCCTTTGGAGAAAGATGTGCGTTTGGTTTGGTTTTGTGGTTAGGTACTGCGTGTTGCACTAGTCAGTGTTATGTGTTTGTTAAATACAAAATAAAATTAAAATATGTGAGCAGTGACCAAACCAGCCCAGCTGATGACTGATGTTGACATCCTCCAAATGTCCCATTTCCATTTCTATTTTCAGTTGACTATTTTTTCACCTTGTTCAAAAACTTGTCCTCCTTTGTAATGTCAACCTCATGAAGACAGGCACTTTCTCTCTCACATTCATTTCTATATCCCCAGAGCCTAGAACCATTCCTGACACATACGTCATCACCACCACCAGTTGCCATTGAGTCAATTCTGACTCATGGTGACCCCTTGTGTGTCAGAAGAGAAAAGCATTCCATAGGGCTTTCAATGGCTGGTTTTTCAGAAGTAGATTGCCAGACATTTCTTCTGAGGCATCTCTGGATAGATTAGAACTGCCAACCTTTTGGTTAGCAGCCAAGTGCATCAGCTGTTTGCACCACCAAGGCCCCCATACATAGCTGATGAATGAAGTAACTGAAAGAGTAATAAATCTGGTTTTACTACTCTCTCTCCCTCCTTCTTGCAGTCATCTATCAATATCCCAAGAAACCCTACTAACCTTGGTACCTAGGTCAATCTTCACCTTCACTTCAATTTCTGCCATTACCCCAGAAGAATTTATGTTCTAATTCCACTCAGCCCATGAGCTCACACAACACACTGCAATCTTCCTTCCAAACCTACCACTGTTCAGAATCTCTTTATTTTAAGGCATTAGTGATTATTGTCTAAATTCAATGAACATTTTCCAGTCATTATCTTACTTGACTCTCTACAATTCACTCTATTGGCCACTCTCTCCTTCTCCTCTATTTTCTACATCACTGATCTGCTTCTTATCTTCTCTCAGGTGCTTCATTACTACTCAGTCTTTCTTCTTTCCCTACAACTTTCTTTTGTGATTTTTCATCTAATCACTCCCTGCATAAAATCTTTTAATGGTATCCTACAGCCATCAGCATGAAATCTAAACTTCTTAACAGAGCTTCTCAAATCCTTCACAATGTAGAGCAGCTTACCCTTGCAGTTTCCTTTTTCAATCACTCCAAGACTACTCATCACCTTCTCCACCCTCCTTATCACCATAATCACCAGCAGCATGCACCAAAAACATTAGCAGTACCGAGTACCTATATCACAGGGTGGAATTGAACCTTCTCCTGATGTTACCACTTTTCTACCCTTGTTTGCCAACCATCATGGGCAAGAGGGCAGTATCCACTGAAAACATACTTATGATACACAGGCAAAACTCAATGATCTCCCCACCCAGAATGATGTCATGCTGCTATGACATATGAATGAGCCATCAGAGGTAAGAACGGCCAAATAGATGAAAGACACACAAAGCACAACACCTGCTAAAACTTCAGAAGAGCTAGGAGACAGAGATGAAGGTTAACCTTGTGATGCATATTTCCCCCACTGGCTCAGAACTCAAGGAGGGGTCGCTATGAGTCATATCCAACACAATGGCAGTGAGTCTGGTTTGCTTTGGTTACCTTACCTGAAGCCCATTTCAAAGCATCTTCCAGGGCCTTACATTTGCTTGCTGATTCTTTAACGATGAATAAATTGAAACCTGAGGAGGAACATTTCTTCATATCTACTGAATTATAACCTGGAAAAAGATTTAAAAAAAAAAAAAAGTATGTGTTTAATTTCTACATTCATTGAAAACTTCCTTTGAGGGGTAGTCAGGTGTGATAGTGGGATAAGTGGTTGTTTCCTGCTATTGCAGCCATCTAGCAAGAGTGACAGGATTGCCGGTGGAAGGCTGGAGGGAAAGAGAAAAGAAGACACCATGCTTAGGGGACCCAGTGCTTCTGTTAAGGGTGACAGAAAAATTCAGGAATGGTTAATGGTGATGGTTGAACAGCATGATGAACATATTTAATATCACTGAACTGTCCATGTGAAGTGTGTTGAAATGGCAAGCCTTTTCTTATCTGTATATTTACAATACAAAATGTATTTTAAAAAAGAAAGGAAAGAGTAACTGGATATGTAAATTGTCAAGTGCTTTAGAAGGTCAGGAGGAGAAATATTTGTTTTGTTACTTTCCGGGAGGGGAGACAAGGGTAATTTTCACATGAAACAAAGGAAAGCAGAAATTGAGAACCCATCAAGAATTCGAACACCCATCCAACAAATGCCTTTTTTTTTTTTTTTTTAATTGTGATTTGGGTGAAAGTTTACAAAGCAAATTCATTTTCCACACAATAGTTCATACACATTTTGTTTCATGACATTGATTACAATTGCCATAATGTAGCAGTTCTCTTCCCACTTCCTCTTTGTGGTTGCCTTTTCCCTGTCCTTCTTCCCTATGCTTTGCTGTCCTCTGACCTATCTCCTTGTGCAAATACTGCTCTTCTGATCTACCAGGGTTGATTGTTCTAAGGAATGTACCTGTTGTTGTTGTTGTTATGTGATGTCGAGTCGGACCCGACTCATAGCGACCCCTCCTTGGGTTTCCGAGGCAGTATCACTACAGAAGTAGATTGCCCCATCTTCCTTCCGAGGAGTGGTTGGTGGGTTTGAACCACCAGCGTTCTGGTTAGCAGTCAAGTGCCTTAGGCACTATGCTACCAGAGGTCCCAGGAATGTACCTACTGGGTATAAATGTTCACCTTAGACATCTGTCTATTACTTGGCTGGAAGCCACGAGAGTACATTTAATTCCAGGCCTGAAGTGAGACTGGTGGCCATAGTCTAAGGAGTTTGGCTGGTCTCTATCAGACAAGTAAGCCTGGTCTTTTTTATGATTTTGAGTTTTGTTCCACATTTTTCTCTCACTCTATCAAGGATCTCCTATTTTGATCCCTTTCTGAGTAAGTAGTTGATACTGGTAGCCATACACCATCTAGTTCTTCTTGTCTCAAGGTCATGTAGGCTCTCAAGGTCATGTAGGCTGAGGTTCACATGATCCACTAGTCACTTGGACAAATTCTTTCCATGTGTCTTTGGTTTCCTTCATTCTTTGCTCCAGATGAGGAGAGAACAATTGTTGCATCTTAGATCACCACTTGTAGGATTTGAAGACACCAGTCACTACTCACCAATATAGGATGCAGAACAAAGTTTTACATACTATGTTGTGCCAATTGAGCTTGATGTCCCCACAACCATGGTCCTAAGCCCATGGGCTCAGTGACTCATTCCACATGTATCTTCCAAGAAGAAAAACATTCTCCTACATAACACTCTTATTACACCTAAGAACATTAATAATAACTCTCTAGATTGTTTTAAAATATTTGGTAGACTTTTCACTTTTATGTTCTCATTTTCATTTTAGTAGAACCACCAAAGCCTCCTCAGTTTCAAAGAGTCAGACCTTCACCAACTTGGTTCTGGAGTGTGGGGCTGCCAATCATGAGGGTCAGTGGGATGGGGCCATATCAGCTGTCCAAAAATGAGGGGACAGGGCAAAGGCAGAGGAATGAGGCCTGCCAGGCCAAGGGAGTAAGGTCACCTGTCATATAAACTAGGAGACTCGCACCACCCAATAAAGGAGATCTGTATAGGAATCAAGTTGACAAGAGGTGGGATTGTAGAGCTTTATGGATGAAAGATCATGATGTCTGAAGCCTACTTTCAAATGTTTTGGAAAATATTTTAAATATAATATTTATATATTGCTAAAAATCAATCAATATACTAAATATTATATGTAGAGATATATAGCAAAATGTCAAAATAATTATTATGTATAGGATATGGATATATGGGTATTTATTAATATGTTCTTTCAATGTTACCATATGTTTGAAATTTTTCATAATAAAATATTTCAAGAAAAACAATTTGTTGCATCTGAAATAATAGCAATAAGGAAAAGGCTGTTCAATACAGGCATATGTTAACACACGAAAAGTGTTCTGAAAGATTTGAATGCTAATTGAATCGTTTTTTCCCAATATGTGCCTCATAATTTTAGATAAATTTTTGTATACATTTGAAATTGCTCAGGGAGTTTGGCTCTGGCTAAGAAGTTATCATAACTGCTCCATTAGCTCCATCTCCATTATATATAGATATAGATATAGATATAGATATAGATATAGATATAGATACAGATATAGATATAATAGAGATGGAGCTAATGGAGCAGTTATGTGTGTGTATACATACATACATATATATATATATATATATATATGTATACACACACACACATATATGGACATTCTTAAAGCACATACAAATATGGATGTAGAAATATTAATCATCTGGCAAACTTATATATGCTTATGGGTATATTCGTTTTTGCCTAGACAAACCTCATCATTTAGCTTGTCTACCAATGTATCCACCCATGATGTTGTTGCTGTTGTTAGGTGCTGTGGAGTCACCTCTGACTCCTAGCGACCCTATGCATAGCAGAATGAAACACTGCCAGGTCCCATGCCAGCTCTGCAATCCCCACTCTACTTAACCCCATAGCAACAGCCATTTTGTCAATCCATCTCATTGAAGGCCTTCCCCTCCTTCATCGACACTCCACCTTACCAAGCATGACATCCTTCTCCAGGGAATGGTCCCTTCTGACAACATGACCAAAGTAGGTGAGACGAAGTCTGGCTATTGCTTTAAAGGAGCATTCCAGCTGAACTTCCTCCAGGACAGAGTTGTTAGTTCTTTTAGCAGTCCATGGTACTTTCAGCATTCATCACAAGCACCACATCTCAAAACCATAAATTCTTCTTCAGTCTTCTCTATTTATTGTCCAGCTCTGACATGCGTATGAGGAAATTGAAATACCATGGCTTGTGTCAGGTGCACCATAGACAAATATTTGTCATTCCTAATAATGTAACATTATGTATGTAAAAGTATTTATCTTCTTTGATATCTGTGTTTTTGATGCAACTCTCTCTGTTTTCTTTTTCCTTAGTGTTATTGTGTTGATCACTCACTTTTAGTATATTGCTTTTACTTTCACCCAAATCAAAATTCATATAGTTAACAATTTTTCCACCCTTCCCTCCCATTCCTGGTAACCAATAAAGAAAATTTTCTTCCACATTCTTTGGGTTTTCTAGTGCTTCTATAACAGATATACTACAAATGGGTGGCTTGAACTAACAAGGATTTATTCTCTTACAGTTTAGGAAGATGGAAGTCCAAGTTCAAAGTGCCAGCACTAGGGGCTGGGCAAAAGTCCCTCAACCTTGGGCTTCAGCTCTGCTTCTTGCTCCTAGCCCACTGAAGCTGGAGGCTTCTCTTAACCCAAACATCTTCTGGCTGCTGAAGCTGACATATGGTTAACAAAGTGGCACAGTCATCTAAGATGCAACAATTGTTCTCTCCTCATCCGGAGCAAAGAATGAAAGAAACCAAAAATACATGGAAAGAATTTGTCCAAGGGAGTAGTGGATCATGTGAACCTCAGCCTACATGACCTTGAGACAAGAAGAACTAGATGGTGTATGGCTACCAGTATCAACTACTTACTCAGAAAGGGATCAAAATAGGAGATCCTTGATAGAGTGAGAGAAAAATGTGGAACAAAACTCAAAATCATACAAAAGACCAGGCTTGGACAGGCTAACAATTAGGTATGTCTAAATGGGGAGTGTATCCAAGATCATATATAGGGTTGGCAGACAGTGGTCCTAGAAGTTTATGTGAATGATGAGAATTCCCAGGTGTGTAGTAAAGCTGACAAGGGGCAAGGTTGTGGTCACTGCTTGGTCACAGCCAGTTACCCAGAGCGACCGAGTAGTTGAACCTGTGGGCTTGGGACCATAGTCGCAGGGGACATCAAGCTCAATTGGCATAACATACTATACAAAACATTGTTCCACCTCCT